CCCTTGAAGCCAACGCCAGCGTCTGCAGTTGTGCGTGCATCAAAACGTGTTAACAGGACCCCAGAGTGGACTCCTGTGGCAGACGGCTGCTGCCCACTCCACCAGACCAGCCAGCAGAGACTTCCCCACCCATCGGGCTGTGAGGGACAGTACTCGTTATCTCCCTGGGCAGCCTGTCTTGCTACAATTACCTGCTGCACATGCACGTCAAGGAAAACAGCTAGATGTGCATAGATTTATTGCCCCTCTCCGAGCCAGCATGAAACACTCAAGAACATCACTGGTTTCCCATGTGCACACTGCCTGGGGAAAACCAGTATCTTGAGGCCACGTGCAGACTCCCAGCACCTCAGGTACTTTGAGAGCAAGAGCTCACATGGCTGTACCTGAACCACAGGTGACTTAGGTAACCTGCACCGACCTGCTCCTCTCACCCCCAGGAGTAACACTGCAGAGGACACGGGAGCAGGCAAAGTCCTTAGCTTCAGAGAGACGGCATTTTTTAAGTGCATCCACTTATCTTTCTGAGCCCAAATTACTGGAGAAAACATTCTATCAGTAATGTGAAAATACCCCCAGAACACTCTCCAAGCTTCAAACACCTGCTGCTTGAATGTTGACGCTCACTTTGCAGTTACGGCACTTCGTGTTTCAACAGTCACACAAAAACTTTTTTTGTTTTTCCCCCCTGAACTTAAGAAATAGCTGTCCATGTCGTGTTTGTGTCCCTCTCTCACCACCAATTTACAGCGACAGCTTTAGCATGATGAGAAAACATTCAGATTTTGATCTCTATCCACACATGGAACATCACTGACACATGTACAGCAAACTCTGTCTGAACTGTATCCAAACATCATTTACAGGGAAAGTGACATTGGTGCCCCCAGTTCTGCTTTGGTTCCCCCGAGGCAGCTACAGTCACCGCGACTGCGGTGCTGCCACTTCAGCTCCTCTTACTCCTGCTCTTGGCATCCTTCAGTTGAAGCTAATGGGGAAGCAAATTCCTGGAGCAGATACACTTAACATGAAATTGTGGTGCTATCAGCGACAGTCCATAAACCACGGGGTATCTGAACAGAGAGAGGACTTGCCTGCGAGTTACTTGAGTTTTCAAGAAAGTTTCTAGACACTGAAAAAAAATGCCTGGCCCAGCAGAAATGCTCAGAGGGATGCTCCTGCCTCAGCAGACAACATCAAATAAATCCCTCAAACTACATTTTAATATCACCAAAGAACACAACTGCTTTTCCCAAAAGTAAGAAATAGATACCTGAACTTAAATCAACTGAAAAGAAACCATTACTGTGACACAACGGATGCGGTGCATGATGCAAGTGCTCCCACAGGAGCTTACATTCACCTCAGTGAGCTCAGCCCCCAGGTGAAGAAACCCAAGAAAAAGAAAGCACAAGACTCACCCAGTCACATCCATGTCCACATCCACGTCTGCGCTGCAGCAGTTACGGAGCCTCGTGTCCACCTCAGACCTTCAAATGGCTCCTATGGCCAGAGCTGCAGAGCCACATGGTGGCCAGGCTGGCCTCGGGGTAGAGCCCTGCAACAGCCCAAACTCAGGTGCAGGAAATTTGCTGAACCCACGAAAAACGAGCCAAGAGTCTACTTTGCTTCCAAATGGCCCGCAGCTGTGTGACGCGCTGTGCTGAGCTCGTGGAGAATGTCCACAGCCCCCGAGGGCTCTCAAAGACTCCTTTGGGACATGTGGCTGCTTCGCCCTCTGGGATCACACACCGTCTCCGCTGCCGTGATGCAATCTGCTGATAATCATTATTCATCTGGCATTTGTTTCCTTTCAGTGCAGGAGATTTGAGCGTCCCTTCTCTAGAGCCTTAGTCCCTCAGTCCCCAGCCTGTGCTCCCCAGCAGCCCTTGCCCCAGCCAGGTTTCCCTGAGGTGCAGCGGCACTTCTGACGCCACAGCGCTGCCTCGGCAGGGCTCGATGGCTGCCTTCGGAGGAAACACACCAAGCTTGATGCATAGGAGATGTTTTCTCATTCTGTCTGAGGCAGAATTTTGTACTTTAACACCTTTGGGGAAAAAGGTGAAGTCCGTATCCAAAATAAAGCACTTGCTGCTCAGGAGAGCACACAGAGCCCCGCGTGCCTGGGGAACAGCTCAGCCAAGCCGAGGCACAAACTCACCAGAAGCAGTTTCTTACTTAAGAGCTCCCTTCAAGAAGGACATGATTTTAAACAGGTGAAGCTGCAGCTTTTCCTGAATTACGCCGAGCTGCTGACCTGACAGAAGCCTTCAGAAACGCGTTTGTCCTTATCTCCCTCTGAGCTGGAGGCAGGCGTGTTTTGGGGGCAGTTGGTGATATCAAGGGGGACTGCGAGTCCCCTTCTGAGGTAACAAAGCTCAGCTGGGGCTGTTTAGGTCCCTGTAGGGGGTGAAACACCCTTGCTCATCCTCCCGAAGCAGCTGAGCAACTCAGGCAGGATAAAGCTCTGCTCGCACGGTAAATGCCCACAACAACTAGTTTCTTGCTCTGACGGGTGATTGGGCACGGCGGCGCACTCTGCAAACAGGAACGCTCCTTTCCGGGCTGAGAAAAGACTGTCCTGCAGAAAGGGCCTCTCACATCCTGATTTTCTCCAGGCTAGCTCCCTGGAGTTGGGTGCCCCCCTCCCCAGCCCCCTGCTCACGGCTGCTCGCCATCGTTACAGCCAGCAGTCCTTGGTGGGAGCACCTGGAGTCCTTCACCTTGGCCAGCTTCACAGCTCGTGCACCGCAGAAGGCAGTCGGAAGGGCGTTGTGGGCAGAGAGGCTTGTCCAGAACAGAAAAAGTAATAGAAGAAAGATGTCCCTACACCTTGGTAGCAAGCGTCAGTAGTGCCGCCACTTCTCCTTGTGCGACCATGACTCTCCCTATATTTGGTATTTTCACTCTGTCCTCCGCTTTCCAAAATCCTGTTAGAACTTTATTTTGGAGAAAAGTGCACATGTTGTTTTGTGACTGTGACAAAAAGCTTGGCAGTGCAGTTCGTATCTCTGAAAAACCCAGGGAAAAAACATGCAATGCCTCGAGTATATATATGCCCGTGTGTATCTGCACTTTTTCCTTCAGTTGTGGGTAAAGCTGAGGCTGTGCACAGCAATATGTTGTTGTCTC